GCCACGGTGGAGAGCGGCAGCCACTGAAGGCGCTCACTCCTGCCTGTGCGTCCTCTGTGCTGGCCCCCCTGTTCTCTGCGGAGGCTGGTGGCCCCCCCCAGGCTTTCTGGGGCCTGCCCCACCACTCTGAGCCTGACTGCACCCCCCTCCTTTCCCACACACAGTGTTTGAGGGTGCCCGTGGCCAGAGGCTGCTGCCGGCTTGGCTCCGCTCACAGCACCCTACATGCTCGCTGGGCCTGGGAGCGGCCATTGTGTGGTGCCTTGCAGCGTGCCCAGCGCCCTCCTGTTAAGCCTGTGCGAGCCTTAGCTGGGAAGACACGGATTTGGGGCTAGTCCAGGAAGGAAGACTGGGGGCGGCTTGCTGGTGGGGTGACATGGGGCTGGCCAGGCCATGCAGGCTGAGCCACAGCTGGAGGCCTCAGCAGGTGGGAAAGAAGGATGGGCGCTCAGGTGGGTGATGGCCTGTGAGGTACCCCCTCCGTCAGCTGTCAGGAGGGGGCCCACTGCCAGGTGAAGCCTCCAGCCTTGCCACCGCGCAGCCCTTCCCCAGCAACTTGTGGGTTGCAAACTGCTTTTAGGTGGTGGGAGGACTCAGCCCTGGCAGTGTGCAGGCGAGGTTAGGGTCAAGCAGAAATGGGGTGCTCTGGTGCGAGACCTAGACCAGTGTTGGGGGGATCAGTGGGTGTGTGGCGCATGGTCGCTGGTGTCTGTGACAAGGCATATAGGCAGGGTGCGGCCTGTGTGAAGCATACATGGGGCCTCGGCAGGAACGTTAAGGAAGTCGGCCATGGTCCTCACAGGTCCTCCTCCAAGTCTCCCCTGGACTCCCCCCCAACCCCCACTGAAGTGCCCCTTCTAGATTAACTATTTTCATTTTCTGGTTCATTATCTGTTTTCCCGCATCAGAGTGTAAACTCCACTGGAGAGCCTTTGTCTGGGTTACCACTGTCTCCCATGGTGGGTAATCTGTAAATATTTGTGAAAGGACAGTGGACCCAGCGGGGAAGGAAGGACCAGACCGTCTAGTGCTTGCTAAGTGCTTTATAAACACGGCCGCCATGGCCACACCGCCCTGCGGGCAGGCGGGCCTCCTCTTTGGAGACCCCTCCCCATCTCAGTGACAACCATGTCTTTGCCTGTGTGTGCTGGAGGAGGGGGCGGGGAGGATTGGATTGCCCAGATTGGACAGGACAGAGGGGGGTGGGACAGAAGGAACAGAAAATTGCAAAGGTTCTGTGGCTCTTTTAGGTGGGCCTCAGTGTCCACCCCTAAAAAAACGAGAATGCTGAATTAGCACAGTTACCCCAGATCAACAGAATTAACTGGTGTTTTGAAAATACATATTCCAGTCGGTTCTCTTCCCTCGTGACTCCCTTGCTGGGGGGGGGGGGCGCTAGTAATTGCAATGGCTGCAGGGCCTATTTTCTGCTCTCATGGTTTTCTGGCTCCAGGGAGTGAGTGGTGAGAGGCTGGTGGGAAGCTGGGCTCTCTGGCTGTGGGGCGGGAGTGTCCCAGGGCTGCGCTAGGTGGGAAAGGCTCTAAATGGCTTCTGTGGTCTGCCCAGAGAAGGCTTCTTCAAAGGGCTTGGCTTTGGCATCAAATCTAAATCAGGCCCGAGACTGGCAGGCAGGCAGGCACTCAGAGGCCCTGTCAGCTTCTCCCACTGCCAGCCACAGACAACGCCCGGCTGCTGGGACCAAGCCCTGCCGGCTCCCTCAGCTGAAGGCAGGTGTGTGTGTGTCTGCTGGGGCCTGGAGGGTGGGGAACAAGAGCCTTTGATCTAGCAGGCTGGTAGGGAGCAGGTAATTCACCTGGCCTCACGCTCCTGCCCTTCCTGCCTTCTGCAGCTGGCACTGGGGTGGGTCTGTAGGGAGGAGGCTGTTTGCCTTGGCTGCCGCAGCTGGCTGGCGCGCCCTCCCTCGTCCTGCTAGGAACCCCCGGCTTGAGGCTTGAGGCTTGAGGCAGGGCAGCTCCCGGCAGGATGCCTGGTCTCGTCCCATCTCTGAGGCGCACTGCCTGCAGGTGCTTCTCGAACCTGGCGCGTCCTCCCAGAGGAGCCCAGGACCCCACGCAGACACCTGCGTCTGCTCCAGGGCTTTGCATCCTGCAGCTGACCCGAGGCTGAATCTGTCCACACCTCACCCTCCCCGGCCAGGAAGGCACCCCAGCTCCTGGGCGGTGCCAGCGTGGGCCTGGGGCGTCCCTTCTGGCCCAGCTCAGGAGATGCTGCAAAGCCCTGCACTCCTGTGGCAAGCACCTCTGCACCCCCTGCCATCAGCCTTGAAAATACCCCACCAGACAGGGTGGCCGCTGCCCGCTGCTCAAGGTGTGAATGAGGAACCCTACTCTCTCCTCCAGGAGCGCACTTAAAAGCTACTGAAAGATTAAAAAAGAAAGAAAGAACTTTTAGATGCTTAAGGACTTTCTCCGACTTCCTGGCATCCAATCCCTGGCTCTTGTACGACAGTCTCTGCCTCACGCCGGGGACGCTCCGGGCAGGTGCGGCTCTAGCGGGCAGGGCTGCCCTGGGCCTGGCTGGACGTTGGGCAGCATTGCTGGCCTCCACTCACTGGATGCCAGTCGCTCTCCTCCACTGGTGCCACCAACACCCGGGGCGTGGCCAGTGTCTGCCGGGCGCACCCCCTTGCTGGAGGAGCAGCAGCGTGCTGTGGGGTGGGGAGCCGTAGGGGTGAGGGGTGCTGAGGGCGGGAGGGTGGGCTGGAAGATGGGAGCCTGGGAGGCCCGGGCCTGCCACATCCCCTTCGGTAGGCTGCTCCAGGCCTCAGTTTCCTCATCTGGAAGGTGGGGGTGAAGATGGTGCCACCCTCCCAGGCCAGCCAGCGGTGGCACAGCATTGGCATGTAGTAAAAGTGAGCTGTGGTACTGTTACCGACTGCAGGGGGCTTCCCGAGGCCTGGTCTTCCAGGGCCACGCTGCCTCCCTGCCGCTTGGGGGGAGAGGCGACACTATCCCAAGTGGTCCTCCTGGGGTCGCAGTTGGGAGATCACGGTGGGGGGACCCCAGGGAGAACAGGAGCATCCTCATGCTCTGTAGCAGCATTTACTTGGCGCCCGCCGTATGCCTGGCCTCCCTCCTGTTTCTGTCCACTCTTCTGCACTGGCTCTGGAGGACCTGCCTCCGCCGTCCTGCTGGGGTGAGCACATCGCGCTGCTGCAGGTAGCGAGCGCTCCAGAGGGCAAAGAGATCTTGAAGGGAGCAGGAAGTGCCATTTGGCACGCCGCTTTGGGGCCCTCTCCCGGGGGGCGTCATCGAGTCATTGCTCTACAAGCCGCCTGGGACCTGGCTGGGCACCCCCCCTTGCTTACCCTCTGCTGCTCTCCCGCCACCCCCAGTCAGGCCCAGAATTGCGCCCAGTGTTCCCCTTCCCTCCATTCCAGCGGAGCCAGGGGCAGCGGCCACCTCCCGCCTTCCACTGGCTCAGCCAGGTCCCCGCCCCGAGAGCACCAAAGGAGTGGTGGCCTCCCTCCCGCCGATGCCCCTCCGCCCTTTGCTAGCAGCCCCAAGGACAGACCCGCCAGCCCGCCTTTCTGCTGGGCCCCCACCTTCTCTCTCCAACCTCTCGGCAGCCCCAGACACAGGGAGGATTTTAATGTCGGAGTTCAAAGGAAGAAACTGAGCTCAGGATTGAAGCAATTTGTTGGTAAAGCCGTGGTGCCTGAGGGGGCCAGAGGCAGGCAGGTGCACCGCGCCCTGCAGGAGGCGCTTCTAGGTGTTTCCAGACCCCCGCCCGAGCGGTGGGAGGCTAGCTGGACACTGAGCGATCACCAGGCTCCCAACAGAGCCTTTGGGAGAGCCCCTGAGGCTGGCCAGAGGCAAGATGGCCCGGCCCGAGGCAGCCTCTGAGGAGCCTCCCAGAATTCAGGGACTGGGAACGGTCGGGGACCCCACCTGAGAGCGCCTCCTCCCTCCTAACCGGGAAACTGAGGCCCACGGTGCTGTAGGCCTAGTTCAGCAGTCAGGTCAGGTCTGCGATGACCTCTCCAGGGCTCCTTCCACGAGAGGCTGTGGGTAGCTGTGCGTGTGCGCCCCGGGGTCTGCCCTTCTCCTGCCACGCAGCATCTGGCACGTTTTCTTTGCCCCAGACACCGGCTGACCCAGGTGGCGTTTCCCAGGCCCTGCGGCCAGCCCCCGGGGTCTCTGGCCCTGGCTGTGGCCTGTGACCTTCCCATTGAGCTGCTCTCATGTCATTGTGGGGCCTGTGGTTTCCCTGGAGGAAACCCGGCTCCGAGTGGGGCCTGTTAAAGTGCTTATTACATCTCAAGTGTTTTTGGTAACGGGCCAGAGGGGCTCTAAAAATAGGGTTTGGTTCGCCTGGTGGATGGGTCGTTTTTCAGGTTCCGCGGCGGGTGGTGTCCTGACGATCCCCGCTCCGAGCCGCTCCGAGCGGAGCCTGGAGATCCTGAGAGTGTGTGCGGGCCCGAGGCCTCCCCGCCGGGCCCCACAGGGAGGCAGGGCGCGGGCAGGAAAGCGGGCGCTGTGCCATGGACTCAGGCCTCCGTCCTGTATTCCGGCCTGTGCTCTCACCTGTAAAATGGGCACTCAGAGCTCCTGTGGCGGATGCTGGCGGGCGTAGCTGGCGGGTGTGGGGGGCACACAGAGGGACATGAGCGTGTTGGGGCCTCGGGCATCTGTCCCGTGATGGAGGAGACAGGTGGACATCGCTAGCCTAAGTTAAAGCAAGCTGGGCTCCCTGGGGGGCAGCGAGGGGCCTGCCCCCCGCCGGAGCTGTGGGGTAGGCTAGGTGGAAACTGACCAGTCATCTGTCCCTGGCAGGGGGCCGCATGGGGGCCCTCCAGAGAGGGCGGCCGTGTGGTGGAGGGGCCGTGACCGGAGCCCTCGCTCCCAGCTCACTCGGCCTCCTACGGTGTTGCCTGACAGGGGGACCCCATTCCCGAGGAGCTCTACGAAATGTTGAGTGACCACTCGATCCGCTCCTTCGATGACCTCCAGCGCCTGCTGCACGGACACTCCGTAGGTAATTACCGCCCCCAGTTCTCTGGCTGTCCCCGAGACCTCGGGAGCGGGGCGGTGGGGCCGCCCCTCCTCCTTGACATGCAGCGCCCCAGCGCCCCTGGCCGCCTGGGAGGGCTCGGTCACACCTGTCTGGGGCAGGGCAGGACTGAGTAGGCAGGCGGGTTGCTACCTGGGGTGTGGGGCGTGGCAGGAGAAGCACCCACATGTGGCTCTGGCTTGGTGCAGAGGGTGGGGTGCTGGGAAGGGGGCAGGGAGAAGGTGCCCAGGGCATCTGCTGGGAACATATCCAGGTGTGGACCCAGCCAGGGGGGAGGTGCCCGAGCAGCCGTCTCCCTGCACCCTGGCGGAGGGCCCAGGCGGTGAGGTCTCCCGGGGACACCTGGCCCGGACAGCGGGCAGCCCTGCCCGTGCCCGAGAGCAGGCTCGGCGAGTGGGCACGTGCTTGGTGGCACACACGTGGCGGGGCTGGCGGGCTGGGTCGGGAATGTATTTATAAACGCTGTCTTCAGAGCAAATTCCATTCTATTCTAACCTCTGGCCTGTTCCCCGGAGCCCTGGTCAGCACCCCCCAGCACCCCCAGCTCCCTTCCCTCTGGGGTCCTGTCTCTTTGTCACTTTGTAATCCTTGCCCAGACTGCTATCTACGGGGACAGCATTTCCTGCCTTTGTTTCCTCTCCCGTTGGGCCCCTGGCTCCCTCTCAAAAGCATTCCCGGGCCCTTTCAAACCCGTCTGTGCCGGGGGGCTGGCGAGGCAGGCGGGAGGGGGCCCCAGCTGGGCCCACCTATTGTTCACCGGGCCCCCCACCCGCCGTCTCCCACACCCCCACCCCGTGCCCGCCCGACTGGCCAGCCCTGGCCAACACAATGGGGCAACTTCCAAATTTAGCCTTTCTGCGGTTTCTTTCCAAGGTCCCGTCCCCCACCCTCGGGTAGCCCTCCACACCCGCGTGGGGGTCGGGGTTTTCAATAGTCCGCCTGTTTCGAGGCAACCATGTGGCTATTTTTTCCTAATCAACTTAACCTTTCCACAAAGCACATCTCTTCCCCATCTCCTCCCGACCAGGGACATTCCAGAGATGGCAGGGAGAAAGAAAGGAAGGGAGTGGGGGGCACGGGCGGGCTCGCAGCGCCGGGCGGGGGCTGGACGCGGGGGCTGGACGCGTGGCCCGGGACGGGACAGCCTCGGGCAGCCCTGGGAGGCTCCGGTGCGGCAGGGCCCAGAGCCGGAGACACAGGGTGAGCCGAGGCAGGGCGTGAGGGCCGGGAGCTTGTCCCCGACACCCCTCGGTTTGCTGGCTGCTCTCCAGGCAGCTGAAGGGTCTGCCATGGGTCAGGAGGGAGCCCCAAGACTCTCGCCTGCCGCAGGGGCTGCCAGCACCCTCTCTAGAGAGAGCGGTGTCTCCAGGAGCAGTGATGATGCTGGGAAAGGGCCCTGCAGTGTGGCCTTGGGGACGCGGGCAGCAGCTCCCGGGTGAGGCGGAGAGAGGGGCGTGGTGAGAGCCCGGGCCTAGAGAGGCCTGGAGCTGCATGGCCAGGGCCAGGGCTGCCCTTATCCAGAGGGCCCTCTGCACCCCTCGCTCCGCCTCTAACCCTCATCCCCATCCCTTTCCCTCCTCTTTCCCTTCTCTCCCGCCCAACCGGCCATTGTTGGGGCTCCAGAGGAGCTGTGTCCAGGGCCTGCTGGCCCCCCTGGGGATTCTGGGAATTTCTCCATTCAGCACTTCCTATGGGAACGCTGGGCGGAGGGGCATTGGAAACCCGCCTCGGAGCTCTGGGTCCTCGCCCTGCCCTGGAGGCCGAGGAGGGTTCACTTACAGTAGCAAAGGGGCAGGGTTATTTTTAACTCCATTGACATGGGTTCCATCCAAAAATGTGGCTGAAGGGCCTTGGCGAGGGTTGAAGGCCTGGGAGAGGGGGCAGAAGTCAGGGTCTCACCACCTTTGCAGTCTCGCGGCCACCCTGGGCCCTTAGGCATGGGACCCCAGGGAGTCTGTTCTCTGGAGTGGGGTGTCGGAGGGTGAGAGGCAATTCTGCCTGCCCCAGAGCCCCCCATGGGAGTCCCCACCCTGCGGTCAAGCCAGCGGCCAGATGACCGGACCTTCTCTTGCAGATGAAGACGGGGTGGAGCTGGATATGAACCTGACCCGGTCCTATTCTGGAGGCGAGCTGGGGAGCTTGTCCCGAGGGAGAAGGAGCCTAGGTAAGGGCTGAAGCTCACTCCCTGGAGCCAGCTGAGGCTTGTGAGTGGCTTGTCCCACAGAAGGACAGAGCCGAGCTGGGCACAGTCACTACCCTTCAATCCACTATGCTGAGGGCTGACTCCCCCCACCTGTTCCCTAAATATAGTGCTTTGAAACTCATCTGTTCCTTACTTCACCTCTAGAGTGAAGCTATTCTCAACCCCATTTCAGAGTTAGGAACTGAGACCAGAGAGGATAAACCAGTAGCCACATAGCAAGTGCTCAGGCTAGGGTCCCAATGAGCACCTCTGGCTATACCCCAAGGCCATCCTGGGGGGTGTCTCTGCAGCTGTGGGCTGCGGCGTTGGGGAGTGTGGGAGGAGGGGTGTGGAGAGCCTGGACCCCTTCCGACTCTGGCGGGGACCCAAATTCTGGCGGGGAACCAAAGGCTGCCCAGGGGGAGGCAATCTCCCTCCTCTTCTCTGCCCCCCGCAGCCCCCCCCCAGTGCCACAAACAGTGGCTGGGAACTTCTAGAGTCATGTGTGACCCGAGCTCCCTCCTCAGTGGTGCATGTGGGCAGGGAGCCTCAGTTTCTCCAAATGGCAGTAGTGACAGTGACCTCCCCTCTGTGTGCTTGCTGTGGGCCTGGCTTCGGGGTGGTACAGGGGTGGTATAGGTGCTGGTAACCCATTTCACAGGTGAGGAAGCGGAATCTTTAAAAGAAGCAACTAGGTAACCATAGATTAAGCAGCAATAGTGGCTATAAGATAACTCGTGGGTGAGGGGTGACTGGGTGAGGGGTGACCGCCAAACCCACAAACTATCAAGTTGTCCAATAAAAAGTTGCAAGAAAACTGACTTGGCAGCTTGCCTGGGTTCCCTGAATCATCACCTGCATCCCCACAGTGGCTTCTGGGTGTAGGTCTCATCCTCCCCATGTCTCACACGGGGAAACTGAGGCTTGGAGCGCACCAGCCACTGGCCGAAGACCCAGAGGTGCCCAGTGGGCCTGCCTGCTAGGCGGGGGGCTCTGGACCGCCCGCCCTCCTGACCCAAGGCCCCCGCCCCTCCCCACAGGTGCCCCGACTGTGGCCGAGCCGGCCGTGATCGCGGAGTGCAAGACCCGCACCGAGGTGTTCGAGATCTCCCGGCGCCTCATAGACCGCACCAACGCCAACTTCCTAGTGTGGCCGCCCTGCGTGGAGGTTCAGCGCTGCTCCGGCTGCTGCAACAACCGCAACGTGCAGTGCCGGCCCACGCAGGTGCAGCTGCGGCATGTGCAGGTAGGCCCCGCCCCCCGCTGCGGCACGTGCAGGTAGGCCCCGCCCCCCGCTGCGGCACGTGCAGGTAGGCCCCGCCCCCGCTGCGGCACGTCCAGGTAGGCCCCGCCCCCCGCTGCGGCACGTGCAGGTAGACCCCGCCCCCTCTGGGCGGTCCTCGGGGCAGGGCTCTCCGGCCGGGTGTCCTGGGGCTGGCAGGCATGCTGCACACTCCTGAGCTCTGCCCAGAGAGGGCTGCGCCTCTCGGGCAGGTATGCGGAGGCCACAGGCCCCAAAGCCCCAGGGGAGGCTGGGAACGGGCAGGGCATACTTGAGCCACCTGCTCCCCACCCCCCATAAGTGGTGGCTTTAACAGGAGGATGCGGAGAAGTGCCAGGGAGCCATCAGCACCCGGGCTGCCCCCAGCGGCGAGTCCGGAGCTGAATGCTGCCTCTTTTCTGGGGCTTCTTCTCCCGAGGACAGGGCCGGGAGGTCCAGCTGATGCCCGTGCAGCTTCTGCACCCTGGGCGCCAACCCGGCCCACACACCAGCTTGGAGTGGTCCGGCTGCCCGGTGGTGGGCACACCGGGGGCTCTTGCCAGATGCGCCGCCTGGGTGTCACGCTCTGGCGCTCCCCCGCCACCCCCATGGTCAGCTGTGGCTGTTCCTCATGCCCACCTCCTCCCCTGGCCTGGGCCTGGGCCCAAGATGACAAATGTACTCTCACCCCACCACCCACTGGCGTGGTATCTCCTGTCCCCGAGGCTTCCAGCTTCGTGGATGGACACCTGACAGCTGACCTCCCCTTCCCGCCTCCCTCCTGGATAAAGCCTCCCCCCACTTCCTTCCAGACAGCCATCTCCCGCCTCTGCCACAACCCCTGACCTTGGCTGGCGCTCCGGGAATGAGGACACCATGCCTAGCCCGGAAATGCCTTTCTCCCTCTCTGGGGGACCCCGGGGGCGGGGGGGGGGGCTGTGGCCCCAGCAGAGGCCAGGTCGGGAAGGCTTGTTTTGATGGAAAAGCTACCAGAGGGGCAGAGGGCAAGGTCCTGCGATTGTCCTGACCGCAGCGCCTGCCTGCCACTGCCCTGCAGGCTTTCGAGGAAAGATCCCTGCTGGGGAGGCCCGGTGGGCAGACAGCCAGTGGCTCCCTTGGCCACTGACAATGTGGACCAAGCAGTGCTTTGGTGGTTCTGTCCTCCAGGTGAGAAAAATCGAGATCGTGCGGAAGAAGCCGAGCTTTAAGAAGGTCACAGTGACGCTGGAGGACCACCTGGCATGCAAGTGTGAAACAGTGGTATCTGCCCGGTCCGTGACCCGAAGTCCGGGGAGTTCCCAGGAGCAGCGAGGTAACTGCCCGGCGGGATTGCCTGTGAATCTTCAGCCGGTAGCCCGCTTCTCCTGCGGTAGCTCCTTGTGGGGAATCGGATCAGGTACATGCCTGGAAGCACTGGTCTCACTGACAGCCATCCGGGGTCCTCCCTGGCCCAGGCCCTGTGCGAGGACGTAGCTCTGACTTTGCGGCCAGTCTCTTCAGTGCCCCAACCACACTGGCCCCCTTGAGGGACTCGGTCTCCGCCTCAGGGCCTTTGCATATGCCAGTCCAGGCAGAATTCACCTCTCCGAGTTCTTCACAAGCCTAGCTCCTTCTCCTTATTGGGGTCTCAGCTCACCTCCTCCTAGAGGCCCCCACCCCAGTCTTGCTACTCTGCCCCCTACTTTGTTAAATGAGTGGGAGGCGCAAGGACCTGGACACAAGAAGATCCCTTCTTCAGATGTTTGGCAACTTGTCCTGGGAAGTCGAAATCAGACTAATTCCTTGTGACCTTGAAGGGAAAGTTAAGACCAATGGGGAAAAGCCACCGAGAGATTTTTAACCTTATATACACAGAAGCCAGTCACACATCAGGGGACCAGGATGAGATCCCCATCACTGGAGGTATGCAAGTAAAGGCTGGATAACCATACAGCAGATGCAACAGTGGGGTTCAAGCAGCCGATGTGTGGGTCAGGGTTTAGTTTTTGTCCTGAGGTTTTATGAATCCACAACTCCAGGGTGTCGTCTGCCTTGCAGGGTTGAAAGAAACCAAAAAAGTGGTCTACTCCAATTATCACCCAGGAGGGGCCCTAGAGAGGTCTTGAGGGGTTTATAGGCTGAGGGCTTTAGCCCATGATCACACAGCCAGCTGTAGGCACAGGCTGAACTAGAATCCAGGGACCCTGAAGTTCTGTTCTCCTCTGCCTCTTTTTTGGAAAGAATTTAAAAATCTCAGGGCTCGAATGGACCAGAGAGATGATCTTTCAAGCCATTCCTTCCACGCTATTAGCGAAGGGGCTGGAGCATAGAGCCTGAGGGACTTAACAAAGGTTGCACAGTGGCAAAGCCCTGCCCAGAATCAGGCCTGGTAACCCTGTTCTGGGTTCTTCGGACTATATCCTCGTGCGTTCTCTCAGATGTTTGCAAAAAGGGTCAAGTGGGGGGGTCACTAAGTGAATTTGATTAGATGAGCATTTAAGCAACTCAGAAAGTGACAGTTTTGGTTTTTAGGACGTTTGTGCTGCAGGGAGGGCGGTTCCTCTTGTCTTCCTGCAAGCCGCCTGAGGCGAGGTGGCTCCCTTCATCGCCTTCCGAGCTGAGCCGAAGCCTGGAGGCTGGTGACTTGGCAGTTTCAGATTGCCATGGAAATGACACACGGCGTTAACTCTGCTGGTTTTTCTGTCTGTGAGGAAGACAGTTGTGTCGAAATGGGCTTCTTCTGTGTGCCTTTGTCTGACGCCGTCCCCCACTAGTTTCCTGGGGGAGCGAGTGCAACAGATCCCGCTGCAGAAAGCAAAGTCTTGTCATTTTATTGAGTATTTGCCTCTGCTCTGGCAGCTGTCCACAGGCCCCAGCTTGGTGGTGTGGCCTGGATAATGTGGTCAGTGGTGCCTGGCCCAAGTCTCTGCTGCTGCTCTGAGCTGTGACCTTGAACTTGCTCAGGCTTGGCCCAGTCTGGCGTCGTGCTAGCGGCCAGGGCTCGGGAGGGGAAACCCCTGGCCCTCCCGTGACTCCTGGGTCCCCTCCTAGACCAGCTGAGTCCCTAGCTTGCCTTTTGCAGGGGTGGAGTCACTGCCTCCTGGGGGCTTGTGTTTGGGAGGTGGGAACACAGGTGTTGACCCCAAAGAGTGGGTGGGGTGGGCAGGCCTGGGGGACGTCAGAAGGCTCTCGGGATGAGGCACGCCTTGAGCTCGGCTCAGCCTTCTCTGCCACCCAGGTGTCTACCTGGAGCCAGGAGGAAGAGGCCTGTGCTCTGCCTTTGACCGGTGCATACAGGCACCAGCCCCAAAGCGCTGCAGTTGAAGGACCAAGGAAAACCCAGGGGCCAGGGCCGATCTCCCTGCCTCGGCTTCCTCACCTGTGAGCGCACGCGCTTGTACCTGCTGTGGGAATCAGCATGCCAGGTGTGTGGGAAGGTTAGCAGAGGCCTCCCACCTTCCCTGCCTATTCTCTCAGCTCTCGAGGGCCAGGACTGCTGTCATCACGTTGTTCAAGGTGCAGGAGCGGAGGCACAGGGTTAAGTGACCTGCCCAAAGGGCGCGGCTGAAGCCTGGGAGAGGCCAGGCTCGAAGCCATGCTCGCCCTCCCCGCGGTCGGGCTTCCCAGGGTGGGGGGGCCGGCCAGTTGACGGCTCCTCTGTTTTGGGGGTGTGCGTCCTCCAGCGGCCCATTTGCTCTCCCCCTCCGTGGCTGGGAGGGACTGAGAGGTTGGTGGGAGGCCCGCGTGAGGGTCAAGCTGCGGAAATAGGGAAAAGCGAGTCGCAGCTGATGGCTTCCTACTTGGACTCAGGGGCTTAGGGACAAAGTAACGGCCAGTTCAAGGGTCATTTATGACCTCTCCCGGCCTGTGCAGACAGGGCTCAGCCGGGCGGTTCGACCGGGGTTAGCTGACTCAGTCATCCTCAGCGGGGGGCCAGGCTTGTTTTCTGGTGACACAGGCTCCCCAAAGCACCAAAGTGGAAGCGCAGGCTTCTGCCTGGAACTGGCGTGTTCTCTGCCTCCTTTCATTGGTCAGCGGACCCAAGTCCGGCCGGGCTCAAGGGGCGTGGGATGATGGCAGAACATAGGGGTGATGGCAGAACTGACGCCATGGTCAACCTTCCCCCTCTGTCTTTGGCTACCCCCGGTCATTTGTCCACCTACAAGTCCAGTGAGGAGGACAGTCGTTACCCCCATTTTACAGATGGGAAAACTGAGGCAGACCCCTGCTAGTGACTGTGGAGTTGGGGGTTGAACCCAGGAGGTCTGGCCCCAGGCCCCCTCCTGTCAGAGGATGGGGAGCTCTGTGGCAGGCCTGGGTGGAGCGCCGGGCCCCCTCCAGTGGACGTCCACTGTCTGACATGATTGTTTCTTCCCTCAAGCAGCCAGGACGCCCCAAACTCGGGTGACCATTCGGACGGTGCGCGTCCGCCGGCCCCCCAAGGGAAAGCACCGGAAGTTCAAGCACACGCATGACAAGAAGGCACTGAAGGAGACCCTTGGGGCCTAGAGGCACTGTGGGAGAGTGCGGGCAGGTGAGGCCAGCAGGGGACAGCCCAGGGCCTGCGGGCGGGGAGAGGGAGCCCAGGACCTGCGGGCGGGGAGAGGGAGCCTAGGACATGCGGGCGGGGAGAGGGAGCCCAGGACCTGCGGGGGGGGAGAGGGAGCCTAGGACATGCGGGCGGGGAGAGGGAGCCCAGGACCTGCGGGCGGGGAGAGGGAGCCCAGGACATGCGGGCGGGGAGAGGGAGCCCAGGACATGCGGGCGGGGAGAGGGAGCCCAGGACATGCGGGTGGGGAGAGGGAGCCCAGGACATGCAGGTGGGGAGCTGGCCCAGGGCCTGCGCTACCTTCTTCTTGGCTGTGGCTTAGGCTGAGGAGAAGGTGGGAGGCATGTTCTTATACAAAGTCCAGGCTCACACCTCCCTCCCTTCACCCTCTTTCAGTCTATTTTTCCATGAGGTGGGTGGGGGGCCGGGGTTGGCCCAGTGTGTGCCCTTGAGAGAATGGGGGCCCTGAGCGCGTCTGAGGTGAGGGGCAGTGGTGACGCCCAGCCTCCGCCTGGCGAGGTGAGCCGGGGTTGGGGTGGAGCCCCGTGGCCACCTCTGACCCCATGTCCCTCTGCTTGGCCAACAGGGTTATTTAATATGGTATTTGCTGTATCGCCCCCATGGGGTCCTTGGAGTGATAATATTGTTCCCCTCGTCCGTCTGTCTCGATGCCTGATTCGGACGGCCTATGGTGCTTTCCCCACCCCTCAAGCGTCTGTCCACCCTCTGCCAGTGAGTCTCCCCTCGGCAGCCTCCAGCCTCTGACCCAGAAGCTCACGAAGGAAATGAAGGACCTGGACTCCGTCGCTGTCTTCCTCCCCTGACCCGAGCATCTGGGATGAGAGCTCAAGAGAGACGGACGGGGTTGCTGTCAGGGGACAGGGGTCCCCTTCCCCAGCGGCCGGCCCAGGCCGCACCTGGGCTCCGTGGACTGGCCCGAAGAGCCCGCATGTGGCCCTGGCCTCTGGGCGTGGCCTGCCTGGTCCAGGACCTCCCGCCGGCTGTCCAGGGGACGCGCAGGCTGCCGGGGTCCCCGGTACTCCTGTGGCTCAGGGCAGGCGGGGAGCACAGACTGGGGGAGCCCTCCGCGGGGCCGGGCGTCGCCTCCTCTCTCGTCCACCTCTGCCCTCAGTGGCGCCTTCACTTTATGCATACGAACCTCGGAAGAAGCGGACAGCCCGGGAGCGCGTGGCCTGAGCACCAGACAGCCGCGAGCGGCGGAGCGTGAGAGGCGAGGCTGGCCCTGGCCCGCCTCCTCCGCCCGCCCTGCCCGGCCTCCTCGCCCGTCTCATCTCTGCGTCCACCCTGCATCTTCCTCTCATCCTGGCCCCTTAGTCTGTTCCGCCAAGGGGAGCCCCTCGTTGAGGCCTCAAAGCGCCCCGTCACTGCTCCGCTGGGCAGAGAACCAGGGCCTGGCCCCAGCGGGGTGCCCGCAGGAGAGCTGCAGGCGGGGCGCCTGTCCCCCCCTGGCTGCGCAGGCTGGCTGTGACACCTCACGGCGGTGCCGGCAGGTGCCGTGCCGGGTCTCGAGGAAAGGGGGCCTGTCTGGCCCTCACACGGCTCTGCACAGGCTGGCTGCGCCCGACCCAGCCTGCGGCCCGGATGGCTGCCCGGAGCGGCTTCCCTGGTCCAGGGCTCGGTCCCCTCCAGGCAGGTGTGAAGACCCAAGGGAGGGGGCGCCCCTTGCTCCCCATCTGCACACTCTCCCCGGCTTGGATCCTTCCGCGTTTCACCTCGGGTGGCTCCTCCCAGGAAACCAGCTCTTGGGCTGGGAGTGGGGGAGAAGAGGGAGAAGGGCCCCAGGCCTCCTAGGGGTGGGGTCTCCGCTCTGTCTCCCTGCCCACCTTCCACTGCACTTTCCCCCTCCCCCTCTCCCAATCTGCTTCCTTCAGTTTGTAAAGTTGGTGATTATATTTTTGGGGGCTTTCCTTTTATTTTTTAAATGTAAAATTTATTTATATTCCGTATTTAAAGTTGTACAAAAAATAACCACAAAACAAAACCAACGAACCGCCAGAGGTCTGTGTGTTGCATTGCGCGGAGCTACCGGGCCGAGCTGGCCCAGGCCCGCTGTGGAGGCTGAGCGGAGGGAGGCCGTCTGGTGGGCGGCCCGGCGTCTCCCCCCTGGCCTCAGTCCCCCGCAGCTCCTGCCCCAGGCCCGGTCCCTGCCCCGGCCTGCCCTGCCCCGGAGGAAGTAGGGCCTGAAGGGGCTCGCTGTCCCGAGGGGTCCCTGGTGGGCTGTGGATCTGAGAAGTCACAGCGGAGAGCGTCCAGCGCCCCCAGCCCCGCAGGGCAAGTCAGATGCGGAGGTTGGTGAGCCAGTTGCAGGGGACCAGAGCCCTGCCACCCACTGCCTAGCTCGGGAGTCTTGGTGTAAGAAGGAATCCCTGGCAGAGCCACTCTCGTTTCGGGCTTTCTGTGTCGTGTCCCTGAACCCAACCCTAACAGCCCGGCCTCGGGGCAGACGGCGTGGCCAGCGGCCGTCTTCACGGCCGTCCCCGTGACCGTGAGCGGGACCTTAGGAGCGCGTCTCCTCCATTCAAGGGCGCTCCCCGCCCCCCACTTGCTCTGCCAACAGCAGCTACCCCCCCTCCCCTGCACCCCCCCCCCCACCTCCCAGAGCCCGCTGGGGGTTTGCTGCTTCCATAAAAATAACACAGCAGGACCCCTGTGAACTCTGAACACTCATGATGCTGCTTTCAGGTGGGGAAGGGGTGGCCACGGGCCTTAGAGAGATAAGGTGACCAGCTCAAGATGGAGGCGCTCCGGGGCTGGAGCCCACGTGGCCTCCTCCGCCTGTGGCCACTGCACCACTGTGGCCCGCAGGGGTCCTAGCCGGCACCTGGGCTGCGTCACATTCGGCCACGTGCGCAGAGTCCACTTGCTCCTGCCTTCCTTTGCGTCTCTGCAAAGGGCGGTCACCACGAGGCCGTGCCACCCAACCTGGAAAAACCCTGCCCCCGAGGGGTCCCCCCTTCCTACCCGGCTTTACTTAGCGCCACAGTGTTTCTTTCCCTGGTTCTTTCAACTTGTACGTTTCTTGTCTTCCAAGCGCACTCCGTGGAAGCATCCTGCGGAGGTATTTTCTTTCCCATGTCCCCAGAACCTAGAACGGAGCCTGGTGGGCTGTGAGTGCGCGCCCCTGAGTATAGTCTGCTCCTAGAGCACATGGGCGCCAGACGCAGCTCGCCAGACCCACTGATCTCCAGCGAACACGACGTGTGCCTGGGAAATGGTGATGCTGAGGGTGTCACTCACTATAAGACATCCCCGCTCCTCAGTGGGCCCCCGGCCTACCGCAGCGTCCTCCTCCTCGTCCCTTCCAGGCAGGTGTGAAGACCCAAGGGAGGGGGCGCCCCTTGCTCCCCATCTGCACACTCTCCCCGGCTTCGATCCTTCCGCGTTTCACCTCGGGTGGCTCCTCCCAGGAAACCAGCTCTTGGCTGGGAGTGGGGGAGAAGAGGGAGAAGGGCCCCAGGCCTCCTAGGGGTGGGGTCTCCGCTCTGTCTCCCTGCCCACCTTCCACTGCACTTTCCCCCTCCCCCTCTCCCAATCTGCTTCCTTCAGTTTGTAAAGTTGGTGTTTATATTTTTGGAGGAAGTAGGGCCTCAAGGGGCTCGCTGTCCCGAGGGGTCCCTGATGGGCTGTGGACCTGAGAAGTCACAGCGGAGAGCGTCAGGCCTCAGGCCTGCTCCCAGCTCAGTCTGTAGAAGCAGTGTGACCTGCGGCCTGTGTCCACCCCTCTCTGGCCCATAGACACGACGGCCGGGACACAGCTGTGTCTTTCCCATAGACGTTCTGAGTTTTCCATTTGGGTCCCGAACCCGAGAGTGTAGGGTTTTGGGGTTGCCTTCCATTTCCTCAACTGTCCAGCTCTGCAGGCGCCTCCAGCCCACCCTGCAGGCGCACCCCCACTCCCTTATGTTCTTCTCAGAGTCTCAGGCTCACAGCCTCGCCCTCATCTGCCTCTTCATTCCAGGTGCTCCCACTTGCACACCTGAGACGCCCGCAAGCCCTTGGCCTCAGACCCCGCCCTGATTACGCGCTGACTCTCCCCTGTCTCCGGCCCCAAGCAGCCCAGATAACCAACCAACCCCAGCTTCTCTGAGTTCCCTCCAACATCCATTGCCTGCAAACTTACCACGCCGATTTCTATATAAGGCAACATTCTTAGTTTCGGGCAACAGAAATCAACACTGATTAACTTACGCAGAAAAGGATGTGCAAAGAATAGATATTCAAAGGATATTCAAAGCACATTGGGTGACCATGACTCAGGAGCGGCTAGAGACCTGGGCCTGTGGTCAGTGCCCTGCCTCGCCTCCAGACTCATCTGCGGTGCCCAGGTGCCAGCTCGGGCCCCCCGACCCCAGCCCGTGTTGCTGAAGTAGGGCCCAACGGGGGCGGGGGGGTTGCTCTGTTTCTGTGCAGCAGTTAGTCACGCGGGCCCCAGAGCCTGGGAGCCTGAGACCTTGGCTAGTGGGTACTTTCAGTCTAGAGAGGGGCTGGTTCAAGGAGCAAGACAGGAGTCGGGGAGTGAAGCCAGGAGATGAGACAGAAGTCAGGGCCTGTCCCATTCTAGACCGCGCTTCCTCCCCTTGTCCTGGCGGCACAAGGTGGGCCTGCCCCCGGCTCCGCGCCCTCTGACTTGTCACACTGCCCCCCAACAACATGGCTTCAAGTGTGTAGACCCCCTTATGCTTGGACTGTCAACATGAACTTACATACAGTATTGAGAATACAGTTGTACTGTGAAGGCGTTTTCTGTGTGATTTTTTTTAAGGATTTATTTATGCACACAAGAACTGGGGTACAGGCCAGAGGTGTGGAGGTGAGAGGATTCACCAGAGACAGAGTGGGGAGCAGAACAGGCGGACCCACTGAAACACACTGCTGAGGGGAGCAGCGGGGAGACAGGAGAGGCCTTGTGTGCCATCTGGGTCAGCTCCCTGGCCGGGGTCGAACTCTCATTGCAGTGGCTGCCGATAGCTTCACAGGGCTAAAACTTAATCCCTGGAGTCACCAGGGAGAACCCCCCTGTGATTTTTCTAAAACAATATTGCCTTTTGTCTTAGCTTGCTACGTTTTAAGAATACAGTTTATAATAGATACTGAGTATGGGTTCCAGGACTGTTTCAACGAGGCTCTGGTCAACCGTGGGCAAAGCAATCCAGTTCTGGGACAGTCAGAGCTGTATGTGGGCTCTTAACTTTGGGGTGAGGGTGGCCAGTGGTGCCATCCCCTGCCCGTTTCCATTTGGTCGTAAACAGAGACAGGACCACAACAGCGTCACTGCTATTGACACCACCGCGGGGTGTCTCCCGCACCGGGCAGTGATGCTGGTGGCGAGTGGTTCCTTCCTCAGGCCGGGCGAGGATCAGCTGAGTCAGGCACTCAGCTCTGGTGAAAGTTGAAGGAAGCCCCGTAAGTAATATTTTATGTTTTCTTTTACAATGTTACACAATAAACAAAAAGTGTTTTACAATGTTACAAAAACACTACTTATTTTGGAGTTTGGGGGAGTCACATCAATTGATAAGCAAGGGAAAGAGATGGGTTTCCATCACTTCAAGAGTCTCTGAACAATTCTTTGTGCTACTTGAGTTATTTATGAGTTAGCTATTAAATGTTACAAATATGAGTATTTTTTTTCATTAAATTTCCTCCAACAATATGCAAGGAGGCATTATAATTTCCTGTAACAAACCAAAAACAATAAGCTCAAGAGTAAAACTAAACCATAAAAGATTGTGTGGTTCCATGAGTCACAGATAGGACTTTTCGCTAATAAAAAATATGGGAATGTGAAGTATTTCATGAAAATTGTCTTTACTCCATTCTGGTCCAATGTTTTAATCTTAGCATCTTCAAGATGAATGTTTGTAAATATTTTTGCAAGATACCACATAAAACTACTGATGAGCAGCTTTATCCTCCAGCTTTGGTTATTTACCCAAGAGTAAATTAGAGAGTATGGGACTTGGAGTTTTGTGATCTTTTAAAAAAAATTCCGATGAAAGATAGACATGCAGTTATGTGTCTTGTAGATTAATATATGGTGGTAAGGTCAGTAATATTTTAACCCAACATTTTTAAAAAATAGAAAATTAGGCCCTCCCTGGTGGCACAGCGGGTTAAAGCACAGCACTGAGAATCTAAAGCCGCTTCTGCATGAGTTCGATTCCCGCCTGCCCCGGAGGAGACCACATGGCGTGGCAGACCTCTCCTGACCTGTCCGCTGCTCCCCTCAGCAGTGTACTTCATTGATCTGCCTGTTCTGTTCCCCACTCTGTCTCTGGTGAAGCCTCTCACCGCCCCTGAGCCTCTGGCCTGTGCCCCAGTTCTATATGCACAAATAAATAAATCTTTAAAAAAAAAATAGAAAATTAATTGCCCTCCCTGTTAGCCAGCCACTGCAGCATGAGTTCGATCCCCAGCCAGGGAGTGACCCACAGGGCGCGGCAGACCTCTCCTGTCTCCTTGCTGCTCCCCTCAGCAGTGTACTTCATCGATCTGCCTGTTCTGCCCCCCGCTCTATCTCTGGTGAATCCTCTCACCACCCCCACCCCACCCCGCACCTGTGGCATTCTTGTGCCACCAGTGAGGCCCCCAGCTGCTTCTTAGGCTCCTGCGGGCACACTGGTCAACCCCAGTCTGCGGGGATTTGGTTCCAGAAAACCACCTCCCACCCCATATCAAAATCTATGGGTGCTCCTGGCCCATATAGAAAATGACGCAGCCTTTGCCTATGGCGATGTACACACATCCTCCTGTATGCTTGAGATCATCTCCAGGTGACTGATAGTGGGTACAGAGGAAGGGCGACCTGGACGCCGTCTGCAGTAAGAGGACAGATTTCTGGGGAGCTAGCCTTTTCCTATGCTCCCTTCCTCCTGCTTTGGGTGCAGATGAGGGGCGTGGAGGATCAGCAGCC